TTATTTTGGTGTGAAGAAAGGAGGAATAAACCAATGTGACATGAATACTGCAGGCTGCAGGCTGAACTCAGGAAAAATGGCCCCATGAACCCATCTGATGACAAAAAATTTCCTGCCGCCATAGGCCTTATTTTTCTGCACAAAGTGACCAATAGGTAAGCCCTAAACTCACTAATGATTATGACACAAAGCCATAAATATTGACCTTAGTTTAATCAGTTAAATTAGTTCTGAGCACACAAAAATCCACTCTAACAACAAGAAAAAGCATCCTGGAAAAGCAAATTCTGAGCTATCCAATTTGTCTGAGGTAACCTTTGGTCTAAAAAGTTACACACTTCTTTAAACAGGTCATTTTCAGACGAAATCTAAACCAAATCAGATTCCAGCTTGAGTGATTTACAGAAATATAAATGGAAGGAATCTTACCAAAGTTAGGTTATGGCATCAAAAAGGAGGAGGAAACCATGAAAATGTTTTTATTCTTCTAAAGCCTTCTAAAAAGTTTCCAACCATATTTAAGGTTTTGACAGGTTCCATGTACTGTGGATATAACTCCATGCTCTTTTGTTTAATTTTATTTAATAACAAGTCTAGTGCACCATGGAACCCTAGCTAATAATTAAGAAGGTTTGTACAGCCTTACATTTATATTATTTTAGGCATATCTTTGTTGTAACATGGCAACTAGATAAGGCAATCTTTGTCTCATCAATAAATTAAACTGTGACTAATATTAAAGTCAAATGTCTTATATATATATGGTCTATGAGAATGTTTCTTGCTTTCAAAAAGAAGGAATTTCTGCTGCTTTACGGTCTGTAAAGATGCTTATTTTCAATTTAAGATGTAGAGCCAAGAGTGTATATATATACTGTAGTACTACATCATCATCAATTTCCTGCTGAACATGCTTAGAATCCTAACAGTTGAAGCATAACAGTGATATTTCTTTGAAGTTTCTTGAAAATTAGATACTTTTGTACCATTAGGTATGTACATACGATCAGATAAATATGTTAATGTGAAATTATGACTAATTAATTTTGAGAAAAATTAAAGGAGAAATACTTGCATTAGCCCATGCTTTTCTTGAAGAGAAAATCAATCTATAAGTAGTGTTGGTACAGCTTTAACTGTATCCAAAGAAAGTTAAGGCAAATTGAAGTGATGTTTTATGTGAATATGCTTTTATATGTCATCCAAGATGAAGGTTTATATGTATTAGAGATTTCAAGTTTGAGTCATGGTGTTCTTTTCTTGTAGCATAAAAGTGGGAAAGGATTGGCAAGGTGTCTAGAGATTTCAAATTCGAGTCGTTGTGTTCTCTTCTTGTAGCATAAAAGTAGGAAAGAGTTAGTATGTAAGATATGTTAGAAATTTCAAATTTGGATCGTAATGTTCTATTCTTGCAATATAAAAGTGGAAAAAGGTTGGTAAGATATCTTAGAAATTTCAAATTGGAATCCTAATATTCTCTTCTTGCAGCAGAAAAGTGAGAAAGGTTGAACAAGATATCTTAAAGATTTCTCTTCTTGTAGCATAAAAATGGAAAAGCTTAAAGAGGTATGGTAGCATTGATATTCAAAACCAAACTCTAAAAGAGTGAAGCTCATCAACAACACATGGTGACATGACCAGAAAGGAATAAGAAAGGCTTTTCCTGGCAGAACCCAACTACATATTTTTGGTAAGGCAAAAGAACCAAAAACCAAAATAATAATAATAATCAAAGCTCAGCAAAAGTAATCAACTAGAATGTGTTTGCTGCATAAACATCCGTACTATATTTTATTTGTTGCGGCCCATTGCATTTTGATTTGTTCCCAGTGCTCAAAATCTGTCCTTCAGTACTTCTCCAATATCTCAAACTCTAGAACACACTGGTAATATTTCATTGGCATAGACCAAAAAATCTCTATATACTAATATATACAGTTTAATTTATTAACCAAAAGTTACACATGATGCAGGAACAAATCTTTTGAAGCAGACAGTAGTGGAAATATTTTGAAGCATCATCAGCTAGTGGAACTAGCTAACAACAAAGCTTGATGCTGTAGACAGGAATTCCCCCATTGTCTTAACTAGTCTTTTATATGTAAAATATCTGCCCAAGTAGTGCCCTATGTATGTAATATGTCATGTCAACTTCAAAGGTTAATATCTTAAGTTGACCAAACCTAACAAAACTGAATTCATGACAAGGAATTCTTTCTCTTTTTGCAGCCAAAAAGTAGTGATAAAACCTAAACTTTAACCTAATGTGAGGTGATCAAGCACTAAGGTCTAAGGGTATATGATCAGTTCTTTTTAGGTATACTGCCATATATGCCTAGGTTCTCCTAAATTCTAAATCAAGAAAACGGGCACAAATATCCTCCACTCATTTGAATACAGTGCAAATAATATTTTAAGGGAAAGATTAGCATATTTAGTGCACAAAAAAGTTGTAAATGCAGATTTTCAGGAGTGAATTTTGAAGAAATTTATGGGGATAGTGGGGGAGGGGGGGACCATATGGTTTCAAGTCTTTTTAGGGTTTGAAGGTTTTTTTTTTTTCCCCTTTTTGCTTGGAGAACCTGCAAATCTGTAGACATGGCAAGATTCTATGTAGAAAAAGCAGTCCCTGTCACTTTGGCTTGAACTTTTGATTGGTCAGTGTATAGCTTAAACTTTTGGAGCTTTAAACTTAGTTGCATAATCCATATTGATACATACAGATTGATGTTCATGAAAACCATGGAGTCTAGTGTTTTCTTCTGGAATATCTTCAGAGAAATTAATTATTGTGCTGATTCACTTGCAAAAACGAGTGTGGATATATATAGAAATTTTGAATTACGATGTCAGAAACAAGCTGGATATGGTGATAGTTCTCAAGTGTAGACCAGTAGCTATTGTCGGCTCCCATTTCCAGTGTTGATGACTTGCTTTAGCTACTTTTAGCTTGAGCATTATATTAATATAATTCTGGCTTAGCCAAAAAAAGAATACATTGATGTTCACGTTACTTATGCTAAAGTGAAAATTTAGTTTGAAGATTGGTTTGAGAATTGGTCTGAGAGCTGCTACCTACTGTTTTTCCATGTACAGAAACAATGTTTTGTATTATCTGGTATTGAGAATTATTCCTTCAATAGGGCTTAGGGGCTTGCATATATGTTTAGCAAAACAAACTTACATAGAATCATTTAAGCAAACTAGCGGGTGTCTTGCTAGACAGTTAACTAGTTTCAGCTAGCTCCTTGGCTGCTGCCCTAGAAATTTTCTACCCAAGCTGATCTCATCCCTTAACCACCCGAAGGATATGTTAATATCAGGAAATTGGGACAGCATTTCATCTTAAACAGTTTGCACTTGTCCCAAAACTCTCTCAAAATTTGATTACGATATGTAGATTATAAGTATATTAATTGTTCTCTCAGGAAAATAGTTATGGCAGTACACTGACCATATTAGTCTAAAGATTGTTACGTATTTTAATTGTACGTATGTATATATTTACATTGATGTATATAAAAAAATAAAAGTAAAATTGAGACAACTAACATCAAAATTGAAATATTTAAAGTTACGAAGATGGTGCGTGTTCCGAAATTTCGACTAACTATTTTATAATAATCGAGCGGAAACTATGCATATGATTATCCGTGAAACTCACATGTCATCGAACGACATGTTGTGTCTTCATCGTGTCTATACACATGCATACGCATATACGCAGAGACCCATTTATATAATAAGAAAGCTTGTGGATCAGGGAAGGGCTACGTGTATCAGATTGAGAACATCGAGTTTCCATTATCATCTGAGTCGATCTTTGCCCAAACAAAATGGTTGATGAACAAGATCGACTGCTGCCAATTGCCAACGTGGGTCGGATTATGAAACAAATCCTGCCACCAAGTGCCAAGCTTTCAAAGGAGGCTAAACAAACAATGCAAGAGTGTGCGACAGAGTTTGTGAGCTTTGTCACTGGCGAGGCATCTGACAAGTGTCACAAAGAGAATCGCAAGACTGTGAACGGAGATGACATCTGTTGGGCTCTGAGTGCTCTAGGGTTTGACAACTACGCTGAGGCTATAGTAAGGTATTTACATAAGTATAGGGAGGCTGAAAGAGAGAAAGGAAGCCAAAACAAAGCAACCAGCTCTCAAGACAAAGATGAGGAATCATCAGAGGATAAAAATGGCCAACCAGCTCAACAAACTGAAGCTCCTCCAACCCCAGTAACTATGGGAGACAAGTCTGTCACAGAGCCTTCTTGAACATGTATATTTTATGGTTATCTAGTCTTTGTGAAGATTTTGCCATATGAATTGAGCTTGATGGTGAATCGGTGAGGGGGAAATGAGCAAGATCAAGAACAGCTTGTGTAATCAAATTGTAAAAGATTTTCAACTTCTTCTAGGTTTGATTGTGTGAACTGAGTAGTCACTAAACACTCAGGTAACTTTGCTGTGTCTTTTTCTTTGATTCATTGTCACATACTTTGTTTTCTCCTTTTCACCCTCTCTCCATCCCCTCCTTCTCTCCCTTATTCCCAACATTTTGTTGTAGAGGGGAAACTTCTGTGAAGTTGTATTTTCCTTGTCCAATTTGATCTAGCTAGAAATGATACTTCTAGAGGAGTTTAATGGTATTTTGGTGAAGTTAATTTTGATGCAAATTAGAGTCTGAGCTGAATGCTTAGAGAAGAGATCGATGAACAGATTCACTGCTGAATACTCTAAGTCATTGGATTCTACATACACATGCTACAAATGTTAGATAGACAGATCTGAGTAAAAGGGATTTCTTTCAATTGATTGGCATCTCTTTTCTCTTTTTCTCTTTTTAGAGTTTCAATGAAGGAACAATTTTGGAGCCAGCCAAGACACATGAAAACCTAGTTTGCAATGTAATTTAATGTGTATTTATGATCTTATATTTTTGTCAAGAGTAGAATTTGTTAGAACAAATTAACATTGTAACTCATTAAACTCTAAAGGATATGTTGATATTCCTACTTCTTCTGTTGTTTTGACTGGTGCATCAAATGATTTGTTTCGGAAAATGTTATGAGAACTGTCTAATTAATTACCAGCAGCAGTACTAGTAAATGCCAGTGAGATCTATGAATCATGTGCAGCAGCTTCGAACTTGGGTTTAGGGTTTCCAAATTAATTCCTGCTTCTTCTGTTGTTTTGACTGGTGCATCAAATGATTTGTTTTGGAAAATGTTATGAGAATTGTCTAATTACCAGTAGCAGTACTAGTATATGCCAGTGAGTTCTATAAATCATGTACAGCAGTTTAGAACTCAGGTTTAGGGTTTCCGAATCAATTAAGTACCATTTGAAAGGTAAAGTTAACCGTACGAATTAACACATCTTGATGCTGATGTATATATATGACACCATTTACAGTTGTATTGAACTGTAAGGTTACTGGCATAATTCACTAACCTATGCAAGGCTCTTTAGGGGGAGAATGTGGCAATCCATCAAGCATTCTTCACCAACAAGGGTTCTAATCAAACCCAAATTGCATTACTTCATATCTGCTCTTAATTTGGGGTCTATATATTTCAGTTCTTATCTATTCCAAAGAGGGGAAAGACAAAAAAGAAAGGAAAGCAAAGGGAAAAAGGAAAAGGGAAAAGGGAAAAGAAAGAAATATAAGATATCTAAAAGGAAACCAAGGGAATGATTGAGATCAAATAAACTTTCTGAGCATGACCACTTCCCCAGCTTCCAAAGTCCCCCTCTCTCCTCACTCAAAGTCACAGTTTCCATATTTTACATCATTTCTCTAGTATATCCTCTTAGTGAAAACAACCAGCCCTATAGCTGCACTCATTCCCATTCCTTTCCCTTCTAAAATATTCCAGAATACCTGGCTTGAAACAATAAAGACCCTTTCTGGATCTCTGTGTTAACAGCACTGTTACCATGTTCCACATAAATTTCCCGCAATAAGATAGTCAAAGTAGGCTAAAACTATACCAGGTTTAGGGTTTCCTAAACCCTAGAAACGGGGACCACTGTAACTGTTGCTTCACATTACATGAGTAACCGTGAAAAATGCAATTTAAATCTTCAGGCATGCTTGTTTTTTTACAATAAATGCAATTGGTTCAGGGCAATCTTCCCATTAAAGATGATTGCTTGAACCCTAATTAAATAAAATCAGAATATCTGTCAAGGGTAAGGCATCAAACCTAGAGCATCTGCAAGCTCTTGGGGGACCACTTCTCAACTATGGTATGTTGCCCTCCCTCTTGCTCTCTTTCCTTCAAATAGAACAATGGGGTGCACTTAAAATAGAAAAGGGGTGAAAGAAAACTCCAACGCAAAATGTTTCCTTCCAAAGAAGAAAATAATACATAAATATTCAGGTAGTACAAGGGACAAACGCTGATTAAAACTCAAATTTTCTGCACCAACCATAACCATTACAGCATTGTATGTCTGTGATGTGGTTTCTTCATATAGTGATTTTGAAAGCCTCAAAATTTTGGGTTCAACTATACCATTGTACTAATCTGCAGTGGTATTCTTGACAGGATGATTTTGAAAACCTCAAAAACTCTGGGACCAACTGTATCAATGCAGCACTATGTGACGTTTTTCTTGATAGAATGATATAAGGATAAATGTTGCTGCCACTGGCTCCGACCATGGCCTTGCCGTTTTGAGCTTTATAACCCGAACAGCCTGCATCCCTCGTCAAGGAGCACCGACACGGAACTTCGGCAATGCTGTACGCCAATTAATTAAAGCGATCTGGCGTTGTAACTGCGATTGGTGATCCCATTTTCCAGGACAGAAGGCAAGAGGATCATGAATTGTCCATGTGAGCTTCAGCACCTCAGTGTAAGCAAGTCCAACATTGTTGCAAATTGCAATGTGCTTTAAGACACATACCAAGAGAGGCATTGATCTTCTTAAAAGTTGAAATAAATTGTGATAAACTAGAAATGCTGATGGTCCAGAACAAAGTTGATGCATGTAACATAAGAATGGTTTGAGAATGAGCATGCATCGATATAGATTTGCTCCATCCACAACATGTGCGTTTCTAAAGTACTGTCTTTGTTTCAATATACACTTGAATTATTTGATTTTCTTTTTGCTTTGAATTTTATAAAAAATAACCTTATCTCCCTCCCAGTATCTACTATAGCATTTGCATCAACAGAAAACAATGTGTAACTTTCAGTCAAAAAACTCAAGACATGCAATTACTCTTCTTGGTGTTTAATAACTGGCAGCTAGTTTAACTTAGTCCTGGTTCCAGAAAGACTGTTGCTTGGTAACTTAAAGACTATGAAATAGTCTTTTATGACTAAATTCTATATGCCACCATTGAAAAAGTTAATCCAGTATACAAGAAGTATAGAAAGAGTAATCAACCACCGTGCATTGATCATCAACCAAATCTGGATTTAGCTTTTGTAGTTGTAAAGCTCAATATATAAGTAGTATAAGCAATAGTAATCACCCTTTTCTAAGTGTTGAACAATGAAAACTTAATGTTCAATTATTAGAATACATATTTCTTTCTTTTTTCATATTAATTTTTATTCTATGCATTGTTTTGATATGTTAGATCAAAATTATGCTACATTATTATGTGGTTATATCTGATTTTGTATGATGAGAATTTAATTTTACATATTTGTCAAAAAGCAAGGATGCATAAGCTGAGGCATACAAAGGCCAAGGCCAACACATAATCCAAAACAATGAGTGACTGTGATCGACCTACCTAAACCTAGGAGTAAGCAATTTCACCTGAATTAATCAAACTAATCAAATAAATTGAGTTAATTCAGAAATGAGAACGATTTTGATTTAAAATTTTTTTCCAATTAAAAAGTTTTATTATTTGTTCGAACATTTTGGTGCATTTGCATTTATGTTTGTTGGAACATTTTAACGTTTTTTACCATATTTATTGAAACATTTTAATGTTATTAAGCTTATTGTGTTGTTAAGATTTCATAATTGAGTTTTGTTCACCTTGGAATAAGCATAGGAAAAATGAAACAAACAATAGGTTTGAATGCATTAAGGCTCATGAGTCCCAAAAACTCAATTAATTTAATTAATAACCGAATTAACTGATTTAATTCAATAGTACTTGCTTTTCAATCAATTCATTTAAATTTTAAACAAATATTGATTAATCCAGTTATAAAAAATTTTTTTAACCGAACTAATCAAATCCACCCATTGCTCACCTCTAAAAACCATTTATTGGACAAAAAAAAAAGGCAGTCCAGCCTAAGACAAACTGTTGGAGCAGAAAGAACCCAAAATCCATCTTTTAGACGCTGTTGGGTCACGCTGCGTGCTGGCTGCTAAACCAAAAGCACGAAAGCCTGACCCCACTTCTCTTTTAGAAGCCCAGAATCCTGTTTGCAGATGAACGTAAATATGGCCCAAAGCCATCTTATTGTAACCTGGGCTAAACGACCTAAGCTCCATTTGACTCAGCCCGAAAACAGGTATTGCTTGGTAACTATGCATGAACTGATCCCTCCCTCCAAATTTTTCTTGCAGTCAAACATTTGAACAATATGGAAATGCTGGTAAGATTTTAACTACCAATATGGAAAAAAAAAAAAAAAAACCATGTATCAAGCCTTTCATAAACATTTTAACTAACAATGTCTTTCCAGGGTAGTTCCTGAAACATGAGAAAAGGGTGAAGAAATTTTTCTATAGAAAAATATGCTTCCTTTAAGAACATTATGGAAATACTGGTAACATTTGAACTAACAATATGGAAAGAAAAAAAAGGGCATATGTCACGCCTTTGGTAAACATTTGAACTAACAATGTCTTTCCTGGGTAGTTCCTGAAACATCGGGAAAGGGTGAAGAAATTTCTCTTTAGAATATAGGTTTTCTTAAGAACAATATGGAAAAATTGGTAATCCCTGTACTACACCTAATGTTTTAGACATTTTCCAACTAGCAAGAGGAGCATGCGAAAATCAATTGTGCAATTTTGAGGAAGAAATCAACTACTCTGATCGATAGAAGCTTCTACAAATCCCCAGCCATCATCAATATCTGGTCCTACCCAATAACCCGTTATTACCATATGAGTACAAGAACTTACATTCAAACTACATGAAACAATTTCATCAAAATGCTTTGACAGTATAGTCGGATGATGTTGACCACTGACGGAAAAAATGCCTTTGTTTGAGCTCCAGGGAGGAGGAAAATAGGATGCTGCAAGTAAAAATTCGTAATATCAATGAAAAAGCACAAACTACCAAGGGAATGACTAAAAGACCCAACATATAACCGAATATGTTATTGTCAACATAGCAACAGTCAGAAATTGATTCACAATGTTAATCTTTGGGTTTTACCTAGTGTTATTCTGTTCATGACACAATTATTCTTGCAAGTCAAAGTGGTAATGCTAGTGACACATCTTCTAGTATAACTTCTTATGATGGCATTCAATCACTTGCACACATTCTCATTCATCTTAAGAAATGGTGGTTCGATTTTCACCTTCCTATACTACATTTTAATCAATATTCTGAAATTCTCTTGGCAAAGTCACAGCTTTTATCGGAACTCCGAAAAGGAAGGTTTGTTAAAATGTAGTTAGAAAAAAAATTTTCTACCTCATTAACAGTGAACCAGGTTGAAAAAATCAGGACTCAGTCCCCAGTCTACAAGAACCTTAGCATTTGGAACGATTACGAATTCAAGCCAAATATGTGGAGCTCAAGTCCTCGAGCTTCAATTCCATAAACAAGGCAAAGAAATAGCAAAAAAATACACACCAATATTTAAGTTTCATCAAACAAGGATTTCCACTTTTATGAATTCAAAAGAAGTAAGAAGTTCTCACTCATCAGCATTCAAAGAAAGACCAAAGTCCAAAAATTGGTAGCATTTCTACAGTGACTTAATTCTAGCCTAAACCCAACATCCAAATTCACTTAATTTTATATGTTTGTGCTTTAGCTGCTAGTTTATAAGCAAAAACTATGCTTTCAAGGTTCCTGAATAATGGAGTCTGCAAGACCTTTAAAAAGAAAAAGAGAAGGATAAGTAGAAAAAAAAAAAAAGAAATAACCTGTTTTGGTGGTTGGTAGGCCTGGAAGTCCGAATAAAGCTGATTTCCTTGGATATCTACCCTGAATAAAAGTTCAAACAAAAATCAAACAATTAACCAAGCAAAGCAATAACATGTTTTATTAGAGAAAAGATTTAGCTGGACTATGAGATTTTTACTTTGTACAGAGAATTCTCTTGAGGGAGAGAATTTTGAGGAAAGAAAGGGATTTGGCCCCTTCAGGTTTCGAAGAGGGAGTTACCTTGAGTAGGACTTGAAGAGAACAGAGAGGAACTGAGAAGCTTAAGGAAACGAAGCACGCCATTGAAGCTTCAGTGGAAGATTTAGTATAAAGGTTTCTGGGTTTAAGAACACTGAAGAAGAAATGATGTTTGCAAGGAAGCCAAGTTGTTGAAACGACGGCGCATTGTTATATATTAATAAGTTACCACCCTTTTATTTATTTTTTTTCTTTTGCTTCAACGACGTCGTTTTCTTATTAATCCCAAAAAATATTAGTGACCCCAACTTCGTATATAATTTCTCCAAATTTAAATAAATGGATGATAAATAAAAGCATGTTTTAATTCCTCTTGGTAAAGAAAACTCGTTTTAGAATTTTTCATTTTCCATATTATAAACATGAACAATCATAAAGCGCCAATGTGCAATATTAAAAATAAACAAAGTCCTATGCTGTCAAAAATTTCTCTTCAAGCCAGAATCCACTTTTCGAGTATCGAAAACTCTAAGTTCCATCACATGAAACCAGAAGCCTAATGGTCAGCAACCTCAGATTAAAAGAGGTTTAGGCTCTTCTCCAGAAGTCTGGCTACCATGCAGAACATGTACTGTCGCCTGCTACAGAAAGCTCTGCCATGAGAATCAAAGAAAACGAAATGTTGCGATAGCCCTGGTTCTCGGGAGAATGTGGTATCGTAATCACTTGGACCCTACACAAATCTTGAAAGGAGCTAAACCAAACTACTGTCTCCATCGAACAAGGTGGTTCCGATGTGCAGGCCAAAATATAACAGTTAGCCAATGGATGGTCCATTCGGAATTTCGTTTGAACTTTTATTGGATTTGTGCCTTTTCTTCTCCCGCTTCTTACTGCCGTTAGAAAATTGATAATCAGTATGAATATACATATAAAGTAGGGTCTAAACAATGCAAAACAAATTGTATGGAACATACTCATCATGCGAGCTATGCCCCCAACAAGATTTTAGTTTCCGGTTGATATGCTTCATATCCTTTTCTGTGGGGAACTTGTATTTCCTAACCTATAGATGTTGCCAGCAAAAAAAAAATCAGTAAAATAGAAAAACCTGGCATGTATTTATTTATTGCTGAATTGCATTGGTTATATTTTAAATAAGATGTTTATATCAAAAATAAAATCACGATAAAATCATACCCAAGTATCTATAGCATTTAGGGATTCTATAAGCTGGGAAATGGTGTGCTCAGAATTCTGGCGTGTGAGAATGCTTCTGAGGTATCTGCCAAAAAAGGACACCAGTTGATAAAAATTGCAGAATATTAATTCATCGTAATCCTGAGAGAGTTTCATGAATTATGAAGCAGCTCATACCTCTCAAAGTCGAGAACTCTATGCATCTCATTCGCACAGCGCAAAGCAGCCAGTGCCAACTATAACATAGCAAGAGACGAGCTAAGCCATGGGAAATCATATTATAGGAAGATGAACAGATCAAACATCAGACCCTTGATCCAGATGTGATCAAGAGCAAATGTGAAGATGCTTAGCAGTTAGCACATGACAAAGGCAAGATTTCATAAATATAGCAAGCTTACATTCATCATAAAACATCAAATTCTAAGAGAGCTTTGTTACAGGGGAAATTTAACAAATTTACCATTCCATTCTAAGAATCACTTTTGTTATGGTGAACTTGATAAAAAAAGGAGATCTACAAACATATAACCATTTTAAGCTTCAAGAGTAAGACAGTTTCCATACATATTCCTTTTATAGACTATCAGCTGAGATAGATATTGCAAAAGATACACTTGAAATGGAGTTTGAACTACAAAGGATACCTGGCCGGGAGGAAATAGATGTGGAGCATCAGTAAGCATAATTTTGTCAACTTCTATCCTTGCAGTTTCTTGCAAATCCTATACAATATAAACATATCCAATAGATACTTAGAATACAATTTAGGATGATAAAGTTAATGCATTTATCTTTTTTGGAGGCTAGGTATAGCTAGCATTAGGTTATCGCCCCAGCCATAGTAATACTAAAAGTTATACTTTCGAGCTTGGTTGGGTGAACCAAAACTTACAATCATGTCAATCCTAATAGTGACATCTCTCCAGAAAATATGAGTAGCAATAGGACTACCAGCAGGCTATCAAACATAATTTTACTGGAGATATTACCAAAAAATTACCTTTAGAATTTGATTTTGTTCATCCTTTGCTCCACAGAATTCCTAGAGAACCAACACTTTAGTCATTAATTATATGGGGAACAGAAATGTCCCAAATGGACTTAATCAGGACCAAATAAAATAGTAAAGAAATATAATTAAATTCCTTTCTTTTGCATCAAGTTTCCCCAGATGCTCAATTCCTGATTATATTAACTACAGATGACAGAGTTTCAGAAGCTGATTTTTATTTTCTTTTAATTAGTGAAATAAGTAAGTAAATGAATAAACAAATAAGGGGGAAACAAGTGATTTCCCCAAATAACAACTTAAAATTTTCTTGTAAAAGTATTTGACAAGTATGGAGGAAAGAACAAGAGAATAATGGCTAACTGAACCCACCTCCATGTCATTGACAAAACCTTCAACTGAACGATAGGGTGCATAAACAATGAGATCAAATTCCAGACTCTGCAAATCAAAATATGTGTTTTAAACAAACACGAGCAGAAAAAAAAAGACAAAAATAATGATAAAAAAGAACGGCAGCCATGCCTGATAAACAATCATCTCGTAATTGAGAATCATTTGATGATCCTGCGAAATCCCCTTACCAAGCTCCTCTGCTGATACATGATTTTCTTCTATCTTGCAGGCTGCATACACACAGGTTAACCTGCAGATATAAAGAAACCTTATCAATTTAACGAGCATAATATTCTCTAAAGAAAATTTAGTATTCAGGGGTCGTTATTAGTCAAAAGAACATATAATCCAGCATCACATATCAAATGACAAAATTAGTGAAGAAGGACAAATTCAAACGACACAGCTTTCACTCAAACAAAAATAAGGGAAGGTGGGGTAAGGGGGTGGGTATATCAACAGTATGTTGCTTTCCTACCATTGCATAAAATATTAAAATGACACATGATGCATTTTCAAACATACTCGTAAGTGCATTTTCAGAATGACTCATACAGCACATCGCATGAGTTGTTACGCATTAGAGCATATATCTGAAAGAGATATAGAAGAGTCATACATTATATGCTTCGGATGATGTTCCATGACTGACCATTGCAGGTAAAACCTTTTGAAATAAATTAGAGCTGTTGCCTGCAAAACATGAAACAGAGACAGAAGCAAATCGATTAAAAAGCAGTCACTTTATCACCTCATTTTTGTTCATGAATAGAACTGTTATTTTAAAAACAATAACAACTAACAAGTACCTGAATTTTATTAGGAAAGTAGAACGCACTACAAACTTCTCGAAGTTTGTTCTCATAAAACACCCGCATGAATTGTTCTTCTTCGATGTTAAGAGGTTTCGCACGAGAATGCTTGTCAGCTGACACAAACGATCAAAATATCACATGGTATGCTTTGTGTATATCAAACTAAGCACCTCATAATATCTAAAAGAAGAAAAGGAAAGGGCACTCACCATTATCTCTTGCAATAGGTTCAGGGTATGACAGTGAGCCATCAGCATCTACTTCCATTTGTGTTGTTCCATACTTCAAAGAATTCATCAAGTCACCTTTAATAAAACGAACAATGCACAGAAAAATTCCAGAAACGGAATACTTCGGATAGAACACATTCGCAACTGACAACATTTAAATGCTGATATTGAAAAGTAAAGAACGGAGTTCAACATCAATTTCCATCTACTCTAGTATAACAATAACCACAAACACAATAAAGACACGCGAACACACAAAAGAAAGAGTTCCCCATACCTTCTCCAGTGTTTGTATTGCTCTTTGATTTGCAGCCTTGTATTTCTCAACCTATATCAGCACAAAAGGAATACTTTTACCCCAAAAAAAAAAAACAAAAAAGAATTTAATTTGAACTTGATGAAGTTCTCTGTTAATCTTTCTACTGATTCCTAATTAAATTCGAGAAAACAACAAAATTCAAAAAAAAAATATTTTCTCACTTTGTCTTCTTTTACATTAACACAGCAATCAAGTAGAAAATCAAGCAATGATATTAGCATCAGCAACTTGTAATCGATGAAATTTATATATATATATATATATATATATCAAGAAGCGATGAAATCTTCCTTCTTTTCTTTCATATTATTTACCAGTTCTTGTGGAGTGAAGATCCACTTGGCTCTGTGAGTCGATGTCTGAAAATCGGCCATGAAAGACTCAGCAACTCGGCAGCCCTGACTCAGCACTTCGAATCTTTACAGATTCTACAGTGAAATTTTCAAGCTCAAAATACTCACTTATACATCCATTCCTCCGAGTTTTTCATGATTTCCTTTTCCATACGATAAAACATAAAACGAAACAAAAGCGAAAGAAACTGTGAAAAGAAATGAATATGGAAATGGGTCTCATGCACTGTTGACCCAATTCGGGTGCCATCGAATCCATTGGACAGTCAAGTCCAATTCTTATTGCTGGATTGTTTTGGGTTACAGCAAATTGGCAAGCCCATTCTTTTATATTTCAAACAATGAAGCTCTAAGTCCGAATTGCTATGTTCATCATAACAATTACCATGATCAAATTGTATCATGACCTAGCTATGCAGTCGGTCAAGTTGTAGAGCATGAAGCAAACTATTTTCCATGATATTTGTATATAAAAGTCAAGGTGTAAAAATTAAGATGACCATCTCATACAATGAGAGAAAAAAAAATCAAATTCAAAAGCTATTCATATAGAAATTTAGATATTTTTTTACAGAAATTATAAATTGACGATGATATAAGAAATTAATTTTATCTTCATCAAGAGAGTTTTTCATTATTTTCTACTCACATGTTGAATCTAATTTTTCAACAGTGTTGTTACCTTTGATACATCAAACATTTTAATTATTTTGTTGTTGGTTAAGTGACTTGTTGTTTGGGTTTTTGCAATAACTAGAAAAAAAAAGTGTTTAACATTAAATTAAGGTTTTAATTCATTTAACATCAAAAGTGTGAATCGATTAATTATTCAATCATCGTGAATATTGTGGATTAGATTTTGCTGTCTCTATCTTTATTTTCAAATGAAAATTCCAGCATTCATTGGAATTTTTTTAATTAAAAATTTTAATAAGACATTCTTCTAAAATAAGTTTATCCTCCGAAAATTTCAAGTATTAGATAGTAAATAATTTATGTTAAAATTTATCTTTTCTTCTCTTGAGTATTTCTCCCTTTTAACTGTTTTCTTTTTTTGAAAAATTTAAAATTCAAAAGAATTGTAAGATTATTTTGTTTACACATATTACTCAAATCTTGATTTTCTTCTTAATTAACCCAAAAAAATTAGCCTTTCTACTAACATTGTAATAATGAGCTGTATTTTACATAAATATAACATCAAGAAGAGTATTTAAAAAATTTAATGAACTTTTGATTTGGTAAGATTTTAATTAGGAAATTATTAACAAGCTTTATTTAAATAACTTCACTTAGATTAATGTACATTCTTTCAAAATGGGTTTAGTCTCTATATTCTGAATTAACAAGTGCTAGGTAGTAAATAATATTAATTAATTTTTATTTTATTTTTTCCTCAAATATTTCTCACTTTTAGCTATTTTCATTCTTGAAATGTTTCGGTTTCAAAAAAAATTGAGAAATTAATTTGTTTATGCATTTTAATCAAATCATGATTTTCTTCTTAATTAGAAAAAAAAAATTGAGAGGAAGTAAACAGAAATAGCCATAAGAGTAGGGACTAATTTGAAAATTAGTCTCAAAATTTTCAAACTTAATCTGCTATTAGCATCCCCATAATTCCCATACCTGTGACATCAAAATCAGACCCACCCCAAAACCAAATCCTTCTATTTGCCACGTGTACGTTGATTAACACCTCTTTCCAATCCAAACCCACTTCAAATAATCCCCACCAAAACAAAGAGATTTAAAGAGAAAAATCCAAAACATAAAAGAAACAAAAACACAGAATAATCTGATTGGCCGAACGACCTTTATATTCAAGTTTCGCGGCAACGCCACCCTCTCTCTCTCTCTCTCTCAAAAGTTCTCCTCTCCTCTGAAAATTTGTTCTTTTTTTAAAGTCTCTCTCTTTTCGTATTTTTGGGGGGTAAACCTTCTTTATCTCTCTCTAAAACCCCTTTTGTTTGTCTTCATGGTTTAGTCTCGGATCGAACAAGGCTGGAAATTTGGTGAGTGGGGATAGTCTCCGATCCGTGAATTAGGGTTTAAAAAGTTGGGATTTGTTTGTAAATTCAATTTTTGGTTAAAATTTTTGAATCTCTATTGCTTTTTTAGAAGTATCTTTGGATTTTCTTTGCTGGGTTTGAAGCAGTTTTTCAGGTAACTTTGTGGGCTAAACCAAATTGGCTTCTTTGCTTTTTCTTTTTTTCTTTTTTCTTCTCCTTCTTCTGTTCTACTGAATTTGAATTTTGGGTTTTGAAATTCTGCATTTTTTGGTTTTGGGAAGTTCTGTTTTTAATTTTCTGGGGTGGTTTTAGAGCAGTTTTTGAATGGCTTCTTTTGGAGTCATTTTCTATCTTGAAGCTTATTTTAATGGTGGATTTGAGGTTTACCAGTGGCCTTTTTTAATTTTTGTATAAACAATTTTAAACTTTTTTTTAGTTCATTGCTAACATCGACTTTTAAATTTTCACTGCCGGTTTTTGTTTCCCTTTTTTAAGTTGTTCATAATTATTAACTAAACAAATTCTACTTTCAAATCTGTATTGGATTCTGCATTGTGATTTGCTATTTGTGTCTATGATTTGTGTGTCAAATCTATCAGCTTTTCTCATATAGATTGGCTAAGAATCATGTTAAATATCTTATTTGGCTATTTTATCCGAGCAACGGATCTGATGTACTGCTATTTTTTGGGTTTATGTTTCTTGATGGAATGTTTCTGATAGAGAAGGTTATTGATGGCGCCAACAAGAAAATCTAAAAGTGTGAACAAACGATATTCGAGTGTGTATGAAGTCTCTCCTGATAAAGATGCCGGAAATTCAAGCAAAAGTAAGCCAAAGGTGAGTGTTTGAGTCATTTCTTATTGGTTAATTAGCCTAAGATAAAATTATTCTCTCGCCTTTGGCTGTTTGGTGACTACTTAGTTTTGCTCGGCATAGCATCTGGTATTTTTGCTTCGTTAATGTGGATTGCATAAGATGCTGATTGTGTGCCGTTTTGATGCATGGACTGCTGTATCTACGCTATGAAGAAGAAATTAGCTGACAAGCTAGGATCTCAATGGAACAAGGTAGAAATTGAGCGTTTTTATAAAGCTTATCGAGAGTATGGGAAAGATTGGAAGAAGGTACAGTAATTGTCTGCTACTGTTACTCTCACATTGAGAAATATCATAAGAAAACATTATGTTTCCCTTTTCCCTGTAATGTTGTGAATTCTTTTACATTGTATGATGTTCCACCCAGGATTTTTATTTTGTATAAATCTAATTAACATGTTCTATTTTAACTTGGTGATTCCTATGTTTAGGTGGCTGCTGCTGTGCGTAATAGATCCACTGAAATGGTGGAGGCCCTTTACCTTATGAACCGGGTATGTTTAGCCTCAAATGTAGCTTTAAGCACTAATCAGTTACCAACCTCTCTTGATTGCTTAATCCTGGATTTTTAAAGGAAGTGCATGAGTTAGATTACCTATAAGAAGAAAAAAAAAAAACCAATGAAATTTCTATCTTCCTTATCTTGCCATTTAAACTTTAATGCGGCTTCTTGAGATCTATCTAGTTCAAATTGGACAAGGGTTGTGCCTAGAAATCCATGCACTGCTATAGTTTTAATGCAGATAAGCAGTTTGTCCTTACTGCAAGAGTCTTTAAGAGTTTATGTGAGTCAATTGCTCAAGGGTTGTTTATATAGTTGCATTTTTGGGCCTTCCTGTGTTGGATGAAGCCTGAGAGTTGCTTTAGTTTGACTCTATTTGCTTATAATATTGTTACATTCATATGTTTTTGATTTTCAGGCATATTTATCCCTGCCAGATGGAACAGCTTCTGTGATTGGTCTTATAGCAATGATGACTGATCATTATAGTGTCCTGGTGAGATTGGATTTGAAATAATTATGTCTCTAATATTTGCAGTCTTATGATTACTATAATCTTGTTCCCCCTATCCTTTGCTGTTAATTACTATAATTTCTAAAGCTGTACCACAATCTTAACTCTGCCATTGGCATTCATATCAATTAAAGCTGTTTGGTATATTCTCGCCTTTATGAAGTGAATTATCTCTTCATTACGCTGTGTTGGTGCCAATTATATCTCTTCCTTCTGAGGCTCTGAAAATAAACTGCACTTTTAACGTTCTTCCTCTATCTTCTGACCAAGGGTTGAAATTTTGTACCATGTCAACAAATAGGGAGGGAGCGATTGTGAAAGAGAGAGTAATGAGCCTTCTGAAATACCCCAGAAAGCTCAAAAGCGCAAGCGGGCAAAGGTTCATCTTGGTTCCTCAAAAGAAGATGTTGTACAGCCCCTATCAATTGCATCTAGTCAGGGATGCCTATCTTTGTTGAAAAAGGCTGGCCTCAATGGTAAAATACATTGTTCTTGTTAGCACCCAATTGCATATATGGTATTTCTTCAATTTGGCTACTGTGTTTGGTTATCACAAGTGTCTTTTTCTTTTCCCTCAGTTATATTTCTTATTTGGCAATAAATGCAGCTAAGAGACTGAAAAGGGAAAGAGTTAAAGTAGTAAAAATTGTCCAATTTATGGGGAAGAAAAGCAAAGGAATAGTTCATGAAGAGATTTTTTGTCTGTCATAGAGATGAGAAGTGTTATAAATCAGGAAGAAATGTTATCAATCAGAAGGGGATGTAATAATAAGCGCCAGTAATTGTTGTTCAACCTACAAGAATGACAAGAGAACAGGAAACAAAAGCAATTCTTGTTGGTCAATTAGAATAAGTGGAGGGTGTGAAGCAGATGCTTTGATGATCCGAAAATTATTTGTAGGAGGATCTTTCATGTGGGTTATAAACTGACAATCTACTATTGGAGCTTCCTTACCTCTTTTTTATATTTTAAGACTCATTATGGTTTTCATTAATGTTTTCTTTAATAAACCATTTTTGTTGCCTATGGAGGCCAAGTGTTTGCATTTAGCATCTTTAGTTGAAAGAACACTGGAGACAGTTTGTTCACTACCTAGGAAAGTTGTTCAGTGTCCATGAGAACTGCTAATTGAAATTTGTTATAATATTTGCTTGTGATTATGCAATCATGATTTTTTTCTTAATGCTGCTGTATCAGGGAAGAATGCCAATTTACAATTTTGTTTCCAAAGTGTAGCAACTGTCAATTCAGTCAGAAAGTTTGTAA